TGGTCTCGATCTCCTGACCTTGTGATCCATCCGTCTCGGCCTCCCAAAGTGCTGGGATTACAGGCTTGAGCCACCACGCCCGGCCTATAGTGTAATATTTTAACATGCCTTTTCTGATAATTATTCAAACAGAAAATAAATTGGTAAGGATATAGATTTGAACTTCACAGAACATTATCTAATTGAGTACATATATGGAACACTGTATCCTCAGAATACATTCTTTTCAAGCATATGCAGAATATTTAATTTTTAAAAAATTAGGCCAGGTATAGTGACTTGTGCTTATAAGAGATGGGAGGATCACTTGAGGCCAGGAGTTTGAAACCAGCCTGGACAACATAGCAAGACCCTAACTCTACAAAAGATTTGAAAATTTAAAAAAGTATCTGGATGTGGTGGTGCATGCCTGTAATCCCAGCTAGTTGGGAGGTTGAGGCAGGAGGATCCCTTTAGCCTAGGAGTTCGAGGCTGCAGTGAGTCATGGTTGTGTCACTGCGCTCCAGCCTGGGCAACAGAGTGAGATCCTGTCTCTAGAAAAAAAATTTTTTGTTTTTTATACATATACACTGATCACTTAATAGACTTAAAGTCTTTAAACACGTCAAATAATTTAAACATGTCAATCATATAGATCATTTTTTCAACTACAAATCAATGTAATTATTACTTATAATAACAAAAATATAAGTGAAAACTTCCATATGTTTGGAAATTTAAATGCACAAATTTAATAACACATAAGTCAAATAAATCACAAGGGAAATTATCAAATATTTAGAATTAGAATAATAACAAAAATAGTATCCTACAAAACTTGCAATATAAGGGTAAAATAGTATTTGTAGTAAAATTTATAGTGTAGTATAATTATAAATGTAAAAATGCTGAAAACTTATGTATCAAAAGAATGCATAACGTAGTTTTTATGTGTATTAATAGACCTAGATATATGTAGTCTTTTATGAAATTTAGGAAACCAAGAACAAATGTATTTATGTTCAGCAATTCATTTCAATTTCTTATCTTATTTGGAAATGAACCAGACATTTATGAATATCATTTATCATAACATAACTTTAAGATTTCAAATTACACGAAAAGTTAATTTATAAATGTTTATCCTATTTACATTTACCTAATTTATTTTTAACAATTCACCTAGATGATTTATGAAAACTGAGATATTAGAAGAAGTCATCAACTTATTTCCTGATTAACTTTTTATTTATTTTTTTCATATGAAGGAACACTTCTAGAAGATACCTTTCTTATATTCTAATATAAGCATTTAATGTTTTCATATGCATCACACAAATATTGATAAGAATTCTCATCTTAATTTAGTTCAAAATGCTTTGTAATTTTACTGTGATTCTTCCTTGATTAAGAAGTTATTTTAAAGTGTATTGGCCGAGCACAGTGGCTCAAGCCTGCAATCCCAGCACTTTGGGAGGCCAAGGCAGGTGGATCACTGGAGGTCAGGAGTTCGAGACTGGCCTGACCAACATGGCGAGACCCCATCTCTACTAAGACTGGGTAATTTATGAAGAAAGAGGTTTCCTTGACTCACAGTTCTGCAGGATGGTTGGGGAGCTTCAGGAAACTTACAATCATGGCAGAAGGGCAAAGGGCAAGCAAGCACCTTCTTCATACGGCAGACCAGGAGGAAGAGAGCAAAGCGGGAAGTGCTACACACTTTTAAACAAGACGTCATGAGAACTCATTCACTATCATGAGAACAGCAAAGGGGAAGTCGGCCTCCATGATCCAATCGCCTCCCACCAGGCCCCTCCTCCAACACTGAGGATCAGAGCTCCGCACGAGATCTGAGTGGCCGCATAGAGCCAAACCATATCAGTCATCACCATGGCCATCCAGTGCCTCCCCTGTGGAGGACACTGAGCATGAATGCACAATGTGACACTCCTCCCACTCTGCCTGTTCCTGTTGTTCATCCACACACTCATTCCCCATAGCCGTGTCTCCCCATTCTTCCAAACTTGCTCCTTCCAGGTTCTCATCAACCGGTCAAACAGCCCCACCCACAACTCCATAGATATTCTTATTTCAGTCTCTTCTGCCTCTACATGAAGCAGACAAGCAAGCTAACCGATCAGAGTTGTACCCACAGGGAGAATTTCTTCTCCACGCTGTCCTCTAGGGCCACCCTGAGCATGTTGTAGTGTAGCTTCAGTCTGTCTTCAGGTTCCATCAACACTGAACCAGCTCATCTAAGCACCAGACATAAGATTTTCCTTCTTTTGTCAGGTGGGGTGGGAAGTCCCATGCTGTCCTCCTGGAATCCCACCCACGTCTGGCCAGTTGGGTCGACTGTAACTCAGACTTCAGACTGACTTCACTTGTCACCTAGTTTACACAGCAAGGAGATCTTGATGGCAGCTGGGGTAGCTGACATCCATGTCAGCTCAGACTCCTAGACAGTTATTCAATCCTCCCAAAAGTTCCTAATCCTTACACAGTATGGAGCCAAGTCCCTAAAGATGCTCATTGGTTCACAGTATTAGACTTAATGCCTAATGAAGGATGTTTTCTTGTGTGTACCTTTATACCTGGACTCCAGTGTATTTTTGCTTTTGAATGAACTGATCCAGACACTCATGCTGCCTCTTAGGTTAACTGAACTGTCCTTTCTCAAGGTTTTAGAAACGGTCCCCATCTCTTTGGCAATGCATTGGCAAAAGAGTTAAAGGAACTACCGTTAACTAATGGGCCCCTTTTGTAATATGTGATGACCTATTAATTTCCAGCCCTTCTAGGGAAGTCTCTGACAGGAACACAATCCAGCTCCTTAATTTTCTGGAAAAACAAGGGCATCAGGTATCCCCAGCAAGGCCCAGATCTCTGTACAGAAGGCTAAGTATTTGGGGTATGTGCCCATTCCTGGGACAGGACTTTGACTCAGGAGTTAAAAGAGGCCATCCTGGCACTCCAGTCCCCTCAGACTAAGAAACAGGCCTTTAGGGGAATGGCTGGATTCTACTGGGTTTGGGCTCATAGCAGAACTACTTTATGAAGCTCTGAAAGGACGTGATCATGAGCCTTTAAATTGGGATGGAACCTGCAACAGGTATTCCTAACATTAGAAGAAAAGCTGGTAACAGCTCCTACTTTGGGACTCCCAAACATAGAAAAACTTTTCACCCTTTAGGCTGGGTGCGGTGACTCACACTTGTAATTGCAGCACTTTGAGAGGCTGAGGCGGGCGGATCACGAGGTCAGGAGATTGAGACTATCCTGGCGAACATGGTGAAACCCCGTCTCTAATAAAAATACAAAAAATTAGCCGGGCGAGGTGGTGGGCGCCTGTAGTCCCAGCTACTCAGGAGGCTGAGGCAGGAGAATGGCGTGAACCCAGGAGGCAGAGCTTGCAGTGAGCCATGATCACACCACTGCACTCCAGCCTGGGCGACACAGCGAGACTCCGTCTCAAAAAAAGAAAAACTTTTCACCCTTTAGATGAACTTTCAGATGCTGTACAGCTCCATCCTTTCATCTTGGCTAAAACACAAAGGGTAGCTTTGGGCATCCTAAACCAGGGGCTCAGGAATGACCCTATACCAGTGGTTT